TGGTCCCAGCACTTGCCCCCTCTTCTTCTTCCTCTTCCGGCGATGATGAGCACGATATTATATCTGGACCCCGAATATTCGCGCATATTACATAAATAAGTTTAGCAAAGTATTTCTTTACTCTTAAGTATGTACAGTAGATTACATATCTGATGAAAGGTTGGAGGTTGAGGGACTTAACACACGTTTGAGGTAAATTATTTAGTTCATTGGGCTAAGGTGAGGTGCAGAATGATGTTTAATAGAATTAACTTCCGTTCAGATCAGTATACTGGGAGAAAATAGAGGCGAAAATGGGTGAAATTCAGCGTTTGCTGATAACCGAGAAATTTCCTATGCTATTAGAGGTTGCGGAAAAGACCTGCTTGTTAGTGCATGTTGCACTATAAAGAACACTCATGAAGAGCAGGAACATTTTTGTTCGCAAAACGGAAAATTTTGTTTTGTGTCCTTGAAATTGAGGTAAGTGTAATTAGAGATAACGCACTATTTTTGGAAAAAGAAGAGCGAAATAAGTTTAAAAAATTATATTTTGTACATCTGCCAAGTTTTGTGTCATAAAATTGAGTAATAAATGTTTAAAGCTGTTTCTTGCTATAACCTTATTAAAAATATCTATTGTATATTTAAAAGGTTGCAGGCAATGAATGCAAATGAGGACTTTATTAGTGTATAGTAATTAAATCGATTGCGAAGTCAATAAAACGTTGAAGACAGTTAAGATATTATACATTTGGGTTATTTGTCACGGGATATTATGATACAGTTTTCTAAAAAATCACCGGTGATTTTATTGCCACTCTGCTTTTTATTTTTTATTGTAGAACTGAGCCTAGAAGTAACCAAATATAGTGAAAACCGTTCCAATTTATATAGAAGGATTAGTTCTTTCATTTAAAACGGAAGATTTTTCCATTATTTTTAGGGGAATCAATAAACTAGTCAAAATGTCCCATTCTGATCTTGACTTAAACATCAAAAAAATAAAGTACGCAGAAATCAGACGCCAAAATATATAAGTAGAGCTTGTTTTCAAGAGATAACTTGTTGCAGAATTTTTCTAAATCAATCTTGAGCATGTTCATTCGCA